TTTTTTGGCTGTATTAATTATTAGAGGACGAGATTAAAACCTTTCGTTTTTAAATTTTCTAATTAGAATAGAATTAATTTCTTAATTTTTTTTAAATTTTCATAATTTTTTTAGAGGATTTTTTATCGTTTTTATTTCTTTCCGTTCTTTTTGTGTATTTCTATCTAATTATGTAGGGAAAAGGGGGGCAATACCAGGTAGCTAAGATTTGAAAGTCGGTTGGAACTAATCTGTTACACTTACAAACTTCCAGATTTAATCAAGGTATCCATTGTTTAGTCGTATACAATACATCATTTCTGAAGAGTCATTGATGTACTACATTTTTTATAAATGAATTTTCTCCAAAATAATTGAAATCACCCGATCTTTCCTCACTAGTGGAGTAAATCTGGGTACACATGTTAACTCTATGGGAAATTTAAAAATCCCAGAATTTCAGTGCAATTAAGCAGACATTTCTACTTTACATCACAATTTAATAAAATTATGCATTCAATTTAGATGTGATGAATTCAATTCGTACTCAAGACGGGGAGAGTTGGACAATTGTCTTGGAGCCCAGGATAGCTGACAACCCGACAAAACTTCTTTACAAAAATCTAGTCTATTAAAAGGTTTTAAACTTTCAGGTGGCAAATCCCTTTTTCAATTATAAAACAAATAATTTTTACCTATTTGCACTTTGTTTGCGACTCGTATAACAATCATTTAAAAACGTTTATGTCTTAACCTTCAAGGCACAGTGGTCAGGTGGGCAGACGAACATTAATGATTTCGTTTTAGCATATAAGCTATACAAAATTGAAGGCAAATGTTAAAATGACTGTCATTTTGTTACTTGATATCTTCAATGACGATCATAAACTCTTTAAGCATTAGACTAATATATATTAGTTCTTAAAAATATTTAAATTTTTGAACATATAGTGAATATTTTCCCAACATTAAGTCTAAAAGCAAATTCAATGTCAATATTATTAAAGATTATAGTTATTTAAATTATATTAAGAAACTAGGCGAAGCTGAACATTTTCAACTTCTTCTTGACCCATAACTTTAACCTTCACCATTCATTAAAAAAATATCAATTCCTAAAATTTGAAAATAGAGTGATATTGTCCTAAGTAAGTTTTCACAGAACATCTTTAATTATAAAGGAATCAAATAATTCAACCCTTTCGCTTACATAGGTAACGCAATGTTAAATTATTAATACATACATGAATCATTTTTTTTATTTCCAATGAGCTGCACAATCGGTCTTGCCGATGAGCAGACCTAGTGCGTTCTCCAGAGATGGTATCCACTCTTTCAGGACCACCACAATGGGTGAGATACCGTTGGTCATGTTTATTTGAACGTCTAGTTTCTGCCACACTAGATGGCAGCACCGAGACTCTATTTGGATGCTAAAGTGCACTAGGAATTTAATTTTGCCGGAAATGCCAAGAGCCAATGAGGCACTCCAGGGAACTTTTACATGTCGCATAATCATACGACATGGCCGCTGAGGATTTTCTGCATCCCGAAAATCCGGTGTCTGGGCCAGGGATCGAACACGCAGACTTGGACTCAGAAGGCCGACGACAAACCAGCTGCGCCACCCAACCACATACATGAATCATTGCATTTGACATTTAAAAAAATCAAATAAATATTATTTCAACTTACCAAAAGGGAGACTAAATTGCTCGAGGGAAGGTATTTTTTCAGTGATAAGCAAAACTCTTAGGTCAAAATGACCAAACAATTTCGTTCTCCTGGTAAGTTCATTTGAAATACAATGTTGCGTGTCGTTGCGGTTTCTCATTAAAAAAAAAATTTTTTTTTAAAAAAAGCCTCCCACCCCCCTTTTCCCTCTAGAAAGTTTGCACAGGAAAAAATTTGAGTCTGAAATTCCTACAAAGAACCTTGTTAACTTATCCCCTTCCGAGCCATGAGACATAATTTTCTTTTTGTCTTCTGATTTTTTTTTCAAACAGAAAGTAGCGGAGTATGAGGGTGCCATTTAAAAGGGCGTACCGAGATAGGCCCCGGTGTCCTGGTGGGCCAGTCCATCCCTGTCACAACTGATTCTTAGAAGTTTGAAAAAGCTTGTCATTCAATGACTTTTGCAAAAAAGTTTTTGAGTGTTCATAAGAGTCACTCTCTCCCTTTCAGGAAATTGTGTCTTTAACTTTCTGCTTACGGCTGGTACAACATGTGGACCGCACATGGAACAACGTAAGAAAAGGGTTAATTTGACTTTTTGCTTACGGTGCTTAGTATAAAGAAGCCATTCTGATTCAGCCGTAAGCAAAAGACTAATGGTGCTTGGAAAAAGAAGTTAGCTGTCAAGGAATATATGATACCAGTTTTAAACTAATTTTTTTTGGAGGAAAATGCTTAATATGTTTCGGAAAAAAGTAACAGTTACTTTCTATAGTCTCGCTACAAATAATTGCACTTTTTCCCGAAAAGTAAAAGCATTACCATTTATGCTCTTTAGTATTGCTATTTATTGTAAATTCTTGTTCAGAATAATATATTATCCTAATAATATGTCCTAAATGTATACGCATTGTTGAATATAAATATTGACGCTTTTTATATATCAGACAATTGAAGGTGTAATTGAATTGTTTTTTATAGATTGTACGAGCTCACGTGATTTCTCAACATGTTCTTTTCTTACGGACAATGAGCAGAAAAACTTACCTTTCAGAAACATGGGGAGAACATTTGAAAGTTGAATTAAAAATTACGAATGAATCTCCAACCGAGGATGATGATAAATGTAAGTTCGAAATTATTCTTTTGCAGTTAATAAACTTTATTTCGTATTCTTATTTAACGTACAAAAAAGTTCGTATATTTACAATAATTTAATATTTCGATTGAAATTTTCTATTTTATATATGGATTACTTATACAATTCAGTGTCATTTGGAAATTGAATGAAGCAAAACGAAAAAAACATTGCTTGAGAATATGTATTATTTGAGATAAACTAAAGACATACTATTGTTTTTTGGTATTATTTTGATGATGTTCATACAGTTTTTCTTATTTTATTTTTTTTTTAGTTGTAGCCAGACGAGATTAAATTCTTTCGATGATATTCGATTTCCAAAATATTTCTTTTATGTAATAGACAAAATAAATTTCTATGTTACTTTAATATTATTAATCTATTGCGAATTTAAATTTTTAAAAGGAAATTTTATGATCAATGTCACGTCTTATTCCAGATGGAATAAAGGTTTAAAGAACAAAAATTCAAAATTCCTTAGGCTAAATAATGTTTAAAAAAATATTATTAAAATTCAATTTCATTTTCAATAAAACTCCCAATAAGATAACTGAATTGACCAATTTAATCAATAAATTATTTATTGTTTTTAATGCAACAAATTATGATGACAAACGTGACATAGTAAAAAAGTCCTTAGCACTAAAATGCTTCATTCATCAACCAATATTGGAAACAGATGCTTTTCAAAGTATCAAGTACCTTCAATGTTAAACAAATGCTGTTATTCAAAAATTCCTTTTGTATTATGCAGTTACTCAAAAATTTATACTTGTAATATCGTTTGAAACCTTTTTAAGATGCAATTTAGAGTATTTAGCATAATTTTAGGATATAACAAAGTAGAATGTCTTATTACTGGAAAGTGACAGTGAGGGAAAACATTTTACGTTTTATGCATCGAACAGCTTCATAATTATAAAATATGACAGAATAGAATGTTTTATTCCTGGAAAGTAACTCTGAGGAAAAACATTTTAGGTTTTATACATCGAACAGCTTTATAATTATAAAATATGACAAAGTAGAATGTTTCATTCCTTGAAAGTAATTCCGAGGAAGAACAATTTAGGTTTCATGCATCGAACAATTCCGTTTCAACTATACTTTCTTTAAAATATTTTTCTGAATTGTTGGCTTAAAATTTTATAATTTTTTTCTTGAAAGTTTCTGTTGTTATAAAGAAAAAACATGTTAATTGACTATTTCAATGAAAAATATTTTTTTTAAGCAAGCAGCAAATGGCATTGAATTATGAAAATAACCTATGTAACGCCTAAATAAAATACTCATTGTATGTTATTATCAATGAATTTAATTCTTATTTCCTAATATTAATGTTGTATGAATCGTTGTACTGCTACCAGTTTTTTATTTAGCTTTAGGCACATTAAGTATTTAAAAAACAACAAGCTATGAAAATTATAATAGAAATAGCGCATACAATACCAATCACTGGAATTGCATCAAAGACAAGTATTAAATAGAAGTTGATATTTTTAAATCTTAAAAAAAATCAAGAAAAAGAAGAAGAAAAAGAAAGTTGCTAGCAAAGAAATTTCCATGAATTTTTAAAAAACATTAATATCTATATTAAATATATCAAGTACATATTTTTTTGAAAACAACAGTTTGTTGCAAGTATTAATACAATTTTTCTTCTTTATTATTATCCTTTCTACTTCGGAAGTAATATAAAGATTCCAAAAGAATTTTAGAGTTTATCTTAATTTATTCATTCCCTCTCACAAACATGAAACAAGAAAAATTGAGCTATTTTTTCTATTGCTATCCAACTTTTCGCGAGTGTTTGATTGTAGATACAAATAGATTCCTCATACTATTAAGATCAACCTACTATTAAACAAAGACATTGTTTTTTAATTGTCCCCAAAGAATTCCCTCAATTGTTTTAGACTATGAGCCAAAGTTTGCTTAAAAGTTATCTCTTTTTTTGGAAAAAAATCGCTTGTGATGCTGAAGCCTCATTTATTCTGTTATTTTTTCTCTCTATTCATCAACACAAACTTGAGGAAAACACCTCCAAAAGTAATTTCTTTTCCTAAGATTCTAAAATTCAGAAATATACCTTTTATTCAATTAATGTTTTTACCACTGTGTATTCAAATGAGGCTTGAATTTACATAATTACATTACTTTTTTACTTCACTGAAAAAGTCTTAATCGTTCTATTTCTTTATGTTATTCCTAAATGAACTTAACCTCATCATAGTATTATAATGACGTTAATATCTCCATAAGATGAATTAAATTTATTAAATATCTTGAAACATTTGAAGCTATATTTCTCATAATGTTACAATGATACTAATATAAAGACTGATACTGTTACTATAATATTTATATTCATACTATGATAATTTTACTATATTGTTAAAACTGCTAAGAACCAAAGTATCTAATGGATAATGGAAATAAAAATTTCATTTTTATTTTCCAATGACTTACAATTTTTCAAAAATTATAATAATTTTAAATTTTAAAATAATTCAATTTTAGGGTACATTCAAAGCAACACCATTCTAAGTGATATGAAACACCGTAAAGGTATGGTACGTGCCAAAATTGTTCGACCTAACATACCAGTAAGCAATGGAGTAGTACACCTCATTGACAAACCATTAATGGTGATAGACAAGACGCTTTGGGAGCAAATAGAAGAATATAAAAGCGAACGACTTAGGTAATAATTATTTCTTTATAAGTCTTAAATATGCATGCAAGAACAAAAAAGGAAAGCATTCCTGTAACATCTCGTTTTGGGTCAGAGATCATGGATTCGACAATTTCGTGTCCAGCGTCTTTTATGTACACTGGTGGACAAAATTAAGAGATGGAAAGCATTTTCGCACATTCATTTGCACATGCAAGATACCCGCACACCACTCCATGTGTTTGACAATGGTTCCGTGAATGCCCAGAGGTACAGACAGGAGATCCTAGAGTCCTATGGTCGTCTTTTCAGGGGCGCTGTTGGCCCTGAGTTCATTTTTATGAACGACAATGAGCGACCATATAGGGCTCTCATGGTTGATGAGTATCTGGAAAGCGAGGATATTCAACGAATGGATTGGCCAGCCAAATCCCCTGACCTGAATGCTATTGAGCATGCTTGGGATGCTCTTGGGAGAGCTATTGCGATGCGCCAACCTCCCCCCAGAACCATTCTGGAGTTAAAAATTGCTCTGGTGGAAGAATGGGAGTGTCTTCCACAAGTCCTCCTTAACTTCCTTATCAACAGCATTCATACTCGTTGTGCATGCTGTCTGTCTGTCAGGGGTGACCATACACCATACTAGAGGCAACACACACTGTACAAGCCTCACTTTTATTGTCATCTTTTAACATTAAGTTCAGACTACATCGGATTTATTGGCAATAGGTCTTGCCAGTGAATGGTACTTTCATTTTTGTTTTGCATACTTTATTATCATGGAATAAACTATATCCATACCAAATTTCATTCATTTATATTCAGTATTTTTTGAGATATTTGGGAAAATGTCTTTCATCTCTTAATTTTGTCCACCAGTGTAGTAATGTGGGTCGTAATTACTTCCCCTACAAGCTGGGACGTATCGATCTAAAGCTGGGTAGGCTCCAAGTTACACTGTAAAAAATTCCAAATCAAATTACAGTAAAAATCCATTTTTACTGGAGCATGTTACGGAACAAAAAATGTGATATAACTTAATTTTTACAGTAATAATTATAGTAAAATTGCTGAACCACTCTAATTAAATAAATATTACTGTAAGAGTTACGGTAGATGTTTTACGGCAAAAATGGATTTTATGGAAGTTGCACACAAGTGATGGCACTTTATATCGTAATTTTCTCCAGAATTTTTTACAGTGAGTCACTGGAGAATGAAGAGTCTATAAGAAAAATTTCGTGTTAATCTAAAATATAAATCATAATCGGTACAATTTAACGAAACGCTTAATTTGTATCTGAAAAAACGTAAACATTATTGATATATATCTCGATTATATTTAATACATGCATGCATAACATTCTATGGTAAATTTAATTGATTCGAACAAGCAGCAAGCAATTATTTTCGAAATCATTTATTAAGCGAAATAGTTTCATATAAAAGACTTTAAAGTTGAATCAGATAAAACTTGAAAATTACGAAAATCGTAAAAGTAATGCAAAATATTGACAATTAACACTGTACGAACAAACAACTAACAATTAATAATATACATTCTTAGCAATATTACTAACTAAATCTTTACTTTTTTTAAAAAATCTATACTAGTCCTCTACATCCCTTTTATTAGTCCTCTTTATATATTCTTCAATTTCGAAAAAAAAAACTAATTTTAGATCAAAATAAACAGACTAAAAAGACTTAATGTAAGACATATAATATATTCTGAAAATTTTGCTTTGTGCAAATGTAAAATCATTTTTTAGTTAACAATCACTTAATTGTTTTCAAAATCTCACTTTTTTAAATCTTCTTAATTGTCTTACTTCTGAAATGTTAAACGTTTTAAGAAAGTTTGACAGTTTTAAAATGATGAGCAGAAAATTAGATTCAGTATGCCAATACTAGTAATGCATCATACAATGGCCATATATATGCATACATGAACCATAAATATTTATATCAAGGCAGTATGGTCGAGTGGGTGGACAAACGAAATAGTTTTCATTTTGTAATCATAGTATGGAGAGCGAGAAGCTCCCCATACTATGACTGCAATAAATATATATAATATGCATGCAAGAACAAAAAAG